CTTTCAGTACTTCATGAAACTTTTAAGTGGCCGTTTTTCTTTGCATACATGTTAAGCAAAAATTGCCCTGTTAAAGTGCTCGGCAGTAATGAGGCAGTTCAGATAGGTATAAACTATAGTTCAACTCCGACAGGGTGCACCGTTGCTCATATCTGCTTTACATATCTTCAACCTGACCCCTTTTCCGATTAAAATTTGCACATTCCTCGGTGCAGATAACCAACGGGTGTCAGGAATGTACTGTATTCCACGAACAACCGTCTCATCAAAACCTTTCATGTAGTTTCTTAAGGCAAGGCAGCTTAGATTTCGAAATGTAATAGATTTGATTCTGAAGCTCAAAGGGTTAGTCATTTTCAAAGTGGCCCATTTCTAGAACCAGATAACCAAAATTTTTTTGTGTCTGTGCCCAACCTCATTAAGACAAAGCATAGACATAGAATAAAAGCACCAAAGCAAAAGGTGAGAGAGTTCAAGATGCTTTTAATGGTTCAGAATACTATCCTATCAATAAACCTAACTTGTTTCAGGGGTAATAACACTGCCCCTTCATCAGGGCTTAGAAGATGGAACATGATCTTGAATGCACTCAAATAGGGATGTTCAGATACCAAGTACAGTACCTGGTACAAGCACTGATACTTTTCCACCTCCAAGACTAGACTAGAATTAGGAGGCGGCTGTCATTTTTAAGGAGCATATGGGGCTCCTGGGATTTGTGCACCCTGTTTTAATGTAGTATGATTTTATATCTATCTATCTATATATATATATAATGCACCAACACTATTTTTATTTTTTCCAGGCCAAGTACAAGTACCGACACTTGTCCAAGTACTCATAGATACAATTCCTGATACATTTGTGTTTAGTGTCATGTGCCAGTTGTTCTAAAACAATACAGACTAATGATTTCAGGACAGTGATGAAGCACCAGGGCCCAGTCACAGCTGCAACTCCTGCAACACTGGTCATTCTCGTGAAAATGTATCAGCACTGGCATCTAAACTGGTATCTGAACATCCCTAGACTCAAATATATCTATAACTGCATGGTTCTATAATTGATCTGGGGAAAACTCTCTCTGGCCAGCATTGAGGAGTGCTGTGTGTGTAGCCACCTCCAGATATAATTCTGTAGGTCTTTTAGGCTCACATGGACACAAAAAGGAGGTGTTTACCATGAAGTTTTCATCCCAACCCCTGCATTTGAAAGCATGTACCTGGCTTATTGGATTACCGTATTACACAATTTTGCATCCATCAGGGAAGGCACCACATTGACCCCAATTCTGCACACATTATTTGGCAAGCATGGAGCCCTGTACTTTGATGGTTTGCCCCATCTGGGAGATTAGAGTTGACTGGACAGAGACTTTAAGAACACAGGTGCTCCACCACCTATGTACATGAAGCCTTAAATCCCAACTCAAGCTTAACAAAATAGTTATTTGTCCTATACCTATACTATGGTCAGTTAAAAAATATCTACATGAATATGGAAAAGATTAGCTGCAGGGAGATCACAGTTAATGCTGTGGATTAGTCCCTTGCCCTATGCTTGTCTTTTTCTTAGGCACAGCTTCCCGAGTTCAGGTCCTCTTTAAAGCCAAAAATAACAATGTAAAAATAAATTGCCCATAATAAGATAACATAACAAAGACCTGTTTCTGCTGCTGTATGTCATCTTTAGTGCAAAGGTTTCCTCCGCAATATTTTTCTCTACCCCGAGTTATCCTAAGTCTGATGGCCAGCATCATTCAACCAACTTCCTCTGAGCCCCGGGCCTTAGTGGACCCACCCCTAGCTTGTGACTGGACAATGACAGGAGAAGCAGCACAGTGAGGATTTCAACTCTCTGTCACTCTCCTTTTATCGGCGTGCTTCTTGTCAGCACATGAACTGATTGGCTCCTTGTATTGCTTCTTCCTTTCCCACTCAAGCCCTGCTGTATAGGGACTGCAAGAGGCCAATACCAGGTCACATTGATACTTACACTGCTTGCATTTTAAAACATTTAAACACATGCATCAATGTTCACAGCGCCGCATTAATTTGCATCACTTATATCTACCCGGAGTGACTCAGCTTCTCTGCTGCATCATAGGTTAACTGTTTTAATACAAAGAAAACTCAACATTTCTGGCTTTTTGCTATATTCTACAACAGAGAACGGAGGAAGGAGGGGCCAGTATGAGCTCAGAGTTCTCTCTTTTACAATGTGAAGTATTGACATGTCTGACAACATCTGCAGCACACAAATAAGTAACTTAAAATGGACCTTATAACATGGAATTTATTCCGCCAATCAGCATTGGGAAAGGCAACAATGAAATAAAAACAGTATTATTATGCCGGGGAGTACAGATTTAAAAAGAAAATAGACAGTTCCTTTAAGCATCACGATTTGCATGCTAACAGCCATAATGAATTACCGAGTCCCGCTCTCACCCTGTCTTGTCATCTATGTGACTATAAGACGTACACCATATTACAATACCTGCGAGAGAAGGCTGTGGACCGCGCATTAATTATACCATCTCGCGTAGCGCCAGGGGACTCCTTTACATTAGCTGTGCTACAACTGCTTAACAATGTAGATTGCAGGATGGCGTACGGCGCAGCAATCACGCTAAGGCACAAGTCGAAACACTGTAACCCGGTGATAGATTGCAGACCCTGGGTAATCACACCGTATAGAAGCATTCCATTAATTGGGAGGCCATTAAGAATATCTTCAGCAAAATACCCAGCCGTGCTTTGCCGGAGTGACTGATGGGTTTCACTCACGGAAAACCGCAAGCTCACAATTCATTCATCACATACGTGCATCTCGCCTGGAAGTCGCTGTACATCAGCTGCCATTTTCTGGAAGTTCCTGGGCTACTCTCAATGAGCAGACGTTTGCAGAAGCCAAGGAATGGTCATCGCTCTTTCATAATGTCCACACAGAACACCAAAAATGTTTAGTGCAAATTCCAGCCACACATATTGTATCATTAGTTAAAAGGGCCCAATGAAACACTAAGTTCTGGCCACAATGACCTATTGCTTTGCTTGGGATGGGCATATAAGTCAAATCACCAACTAGCTTCTAATAAAAGTGGCCACAATCGACCACCATTTCCTTCATTCTTATGAATGTTATACCTGCTTATCTCTACAGAAAATTGGGTCAGTTGTCAAGAGCCCATCAGTATGAAGACCATCTGAAACAACCAACCCAATTACATCAAAAGCTAACCACAAACGCAAGTGTGTATCCACGTGTTTCACATTTTTGCTGCCCCATTTGCATGGGGCTTCCATATTGTTGGTTATCAGCCAATCAAACTATGCAACAGGTGCTTGCTTAGATTGGTAGGTCTGCTACATAATTTAGGAGAGTTGGGTGTCCTGACTGGTCATCATCCTGGATGAACATTTGATAGGGATCGGTGAATACATCCACCCCTTGCTACTAATTCACAGGAAGTTCTCTTGAAATGAAAATGCAATGTATGCAGTGCAATGCAATGTCTTAAACAGACCCTGAATGGGCAAGGTGACAGAGTCTCTTAAAGCCCACCCCAACCACCTTATACTCAAACAACACAACCCCCACTGCTCCTTCTGTGGTTGCCACTGCAGATAATCCACTGCTTCCGATGTGGGGGGGCATGTGAGCTAATCCTAATATGCAGTGATTGGCCACTAGGTCTGAGTGCTCTGACATGACAGAGAGGGTTACGCAATTGCTGCTGTTAAGATACAATCAGTTTTTTTTACTTTGAGACAGCCATGGAAGTAGTAGCGGTGAGGGAGTGAGTATACAGTGGTCAGCATGGGTTTTAAACAGTTCCTGCCACATTGCCCTGAATGAGCAAGGAGTCAGGGTCTCTTTGTTGGGGCAACTCCATCCAAAATTGATATGTTGGAATATTGGGGTCGGCAACGACAAGTCAAATCACCATCATTATGGGTTGAACTTGATGGACCGGTGTCTTTTTTTCAACCTTGATAACTGTGAAGCCAACTAGCTTATAATGCAGGGGTAGGCAACCTTGGCACTGCAGCTGTTGTAGAACTAGAAAATAAACTTTAAGATCCTCACAGCTACAGGCATGACTCCCGGAGCCAGGCATGACTCTCACCACAGCATGAGTGCCATGGTTGCCTACCCCTGTTTTAAGGCCTTTTTGGAGACTCCACTGGTGAGTAATTCCTGTACCAGTCTGCATCTCCACCAAGAAGGACTATTCACCAGTATCTTGCTCAACATTATAGAGAATGCATTGAAGGAGCCATATGGCTTTGTAATGGCTGTAGACATTAGACATAGCTGGGTATTCCAGCAGCTATATGTTACCATCTGATTGCCTTAGAGATCAAAGACTCTGGTTTGTTATTTGACATACCACCTCAAAACAATAATAACACTTCTGCGTGGCATCATCCTTTAAATTACAAATTTTTTGTTTTTTAAATAAAATTTGACTTTAAAGTAAAACTGTCATGTGATAAACATGGGGGGCTGCCATTGCTGAACTCCTTCTGAAATTGCTAGATGCCTGGCTGTCATCAAAACCTCCTAAATCACTGACCGGAACCAGCGTTTGCAGATCAGGAACACTGGATACATCCAGAACGTCTCATCTGCCAGCCAGGCAACTGGCATATTCGGCAGGAGAGCTCAGTGATTGCAGCCCTCCTATATTTTCTGTCGGCGGCTTTCCTTTAAACAACATCCAAGCTTCCAGTCAACAAACTCATCAGAAAACAAGAAATAAAAGCCTGCATTTTGCATTTAAATGCAGCATTAAGAACGAGCAAACAACTGCGACAAGGCTTTTAATATTTCACAGCACAGAGCGCCGTCAACAAGCGGCGTTGTGTGATGGCGCACGGGCAACCCGCTGGGCCCCCTCACGCACCAGACAAGAGAGGCAGAGAGCAGTCGAACTGCTAAACGACATTCAGGAGGAATCACGCACGGAGGCCCGTCAGGAGGGCCTCACTCACCGGTTGCTTTCGGAGTCCGCTTCCTGCGATCCCTGAACGCCGCGCCTGACTGCAGGGCTTCCAGCAAGCTATCCATCACGCCTGTCTCGTCGCCCTCTGTTAAGGGAGAAAAGAAGACAATGCAAAATTAATCTCGGCGCAATTAAACTTGGACAATAAAAGGCGTGCATCAAACAGTCGCATTTTCATAAGACAACCGTATTAAAGGCATACATCAAGCTTTAGCGTTACAAGCGCTGTCACTCTGGGTAGGCCGCGCTCCAGCTTGGTTTTACAAGACTCTGTTGAACGAGATTCAATTCTTGCCCTGAA